ATTCGGAAACAGTGATTAGTAATGATTCAAGGCACTTGCGTCTAGCTGAAATTAGTTTCTTTGCTTTTTTTATTTCGTTACTAATTGGGTTGGTCCTGAATTTCTTGAGATGATTGGTGGGAATTTCAGTGTTGTACACAGGCGGTGTTAAGTGATCTTTCTACATGCGGTAAAAGTGTTGATTCGAGGCGGTAGTTGGTGTTGTGTTTTCTTGCTGTTTATCCTACATAATTCTTGTCGCAGCCTCCAAAGGGTTATAGTGTAAACCCTGCATTGTCTGGTTTCATGGTGTTTTGATTTTGTCCATGTAAATCCTTTATTGAAGTGCTGGAAGCGATGGTGTGACTCTGGTGTTAGGAATATTATTGTCTATCTATTTTTATGTTACCCAAGTAATAGCTTTTTATCCTTTTATCATGTGCGGTTAATTCTTCGACCACTACTACTACTACTACTAATAATACTACTACTACTACTACTAATACTACTACTACTACTACTATACTATTTACACCTAACTACTACTAGCTACTGACTACTACTATACTCCTTGTAATACTATAATAACTATAGACTTACTAATACTACAATACTAATACTACTACTACTTAATACTACTACTACTACTATACTAATACTAACTACTTACTTATTCTATACTTCTAATACTACTAACTACTAATACTAATACTAGATGCTACTAATGCTACTACTACTAATGCTACTTCTATACTACTACTAATACTACTACTACTGACTATAATACTACTACTTACTAATACTAATACTACTACTACTAGACTACTAATACTACTACTAACTACTTACTTCTCTACTACTACTACTACTACTACTAATACACTGAATACTTACTACTACTATACTATAATATATACTACTATAATACTACTACTTCTACTACTAATTACTGCTTACTACTACTACTATACTACTACTACTACTACTACTTACTACTACTACTAATACTTCTACTACTCTACTACTACTACAACTTACTACTACTACTACTGACTACTACTTTACTACTTCTATACTACTACTAGCTACTTACTAACTACCACCACCACCCACCACACATTGTATTGCAACATCACTCCTGAGCCTATATATACCCTCGTGTCCTTACAGTTTGTAATGGCTTGACAAAGCTCTGGACGGCAAAACGTTGCACAATAAAAAATGTCACAATAGTTGCACTTGTGTCCTTTTACTTTACTTCACCTAAATTTCAGAAGATGCCAATTTCCAATTAAGGTCAGAATAAACAAGACAGACTATTCTGGCACTAAATAACACTTTCTTATGTTCACTAGTCATGTCCCCGGGCCCACTTTACATCTTCTCTTGCTTTCCACTTTGAATTTTTATTCTCGCAAAAATAGAAGAATTGTTATTGCTGTTCTTACGGCTGAACAGCGGTTTTTAGTGCCGATGAAGGTAGCGTAAAGGTTTAGCTATTGGATACGGCGTGGACTTGTTTCGGCTTTAATTTGGGTAGGAGGAGTACACACGGGCAGTGTGAGGGACAGTGGACCGCAAGCAGGTCCGTGGAGGGGGAGCACTTGGTGTGTCAAGTCGGTCGGCCTCGGAACTAGTGAGGAGAGGGTGGGCTGTAACTCCCACCGACCTTTTTTAAAAGGGGTTTAGGGCTACAGAGGGCAGCACTGAATGCCGCGAAAATAGGAACTAGTCAGAGCAGACGGCTAGGCTGTGTGCTTGACAGTACGGCGTCTACGATGTTTACTGTTATGCAGATTACGTGCATTAGTGTAGAAGTTGGATATAGAAATGGTATTATTACTATCAAGTGCATTGTGAAAGAAGAATATTAGACTCACCAGTTGACGTGTTTTGGATGCTTGGCATGATTTGTTTACTTTGAAAATTTGGTTATATAATCAAACATTTCTGCTACTTTGAGCTCAATTTCAGGTACTTTTCCATATGTAACCAATCAAAATCATTTAAATTTTGTAATATGTCTTCCATAATATAAAATGACACCAGGAAAATAGAATACAACATAATACCATACGAAAATACAATGTTAAACGTAGCTGTTTTAAACCAAAAACACGGGCGGAGTTTTGTTTTTGCCTCATTATCACTAGTGTGCTGTAAGGATTTTTTTTATACTGTGCTCAATGACCACTTAGACCCATCTTTCCTATGTAGGCCTACTAGCTTTCTCTCATAGATTTGTAAAGCGCTAGAATTTAGGTGTTCCAGTACATCAATAACCTGGTGCATATGCCATTAACTAGTACATCGGAAACCTGAAAGGGTTAATGTAGGGCTAGAGGTGAGTTTATTTGTAGTAAGTCAGGTTTGGGAAGTTTTGGTAGCAAGGCCAGGTCAAGCCAAACCCCACCCAAACTTAATTTACTAGTAATTTAATTGAGAGACCCAGAGCGATCAATTACAATAAGCACATTCATTAATTAACTTAAAATATTTGTAGTTTTAATGTAGGGTGAAAGGTGAGTTTTATTTGTAGGAATGTCAGGGTGGTAGCCAGCCCAGGCAACTATGGAAGAAAGATATTTTCAGAAATAGGATATGATTTTGAATTGCTTTAATGAGAATAAAGTTCTTGAATTGAGGCTAACCTAGGAGATTGGTCCATTGCTTGCTGTTTCAGAGTAAACAAATGACGTCACTGTCATTCCAATATGCAGTCATGAATGGGTTGACATTTTATTCAATTATTACAATATGGAATAACAGTAAATCTTAATTTTTTGGTGAATATAATTTACAAATAATATATAATAAATAATGATAATAATAATAATATATATGTAATATGTATAATAATAATACATATATAATAATAATGCTACTACATATAATAATTATAATAATAGACGGCTTCAAAAAAGGCCGTCACTAGATGGCGTGTTTACGCAACAAAGAGGGAGCGGTTTGTGGTCGCCTCCACCTGTTTACATAATGACTTATTTTAATATCATTATGAGTACTATATATAGTGTTTTCTATTGTTTATTTATTGAGATTTGATTATGTTCATATTAGATGAACTTGATTACAAATAAGCCGTATAGATGATATTAGCGAAATTTTTCAGAAGTATTTTGCCAGTCTCCAGACAAACTCTTGTCCACCGCCGACATCACCATACCACTACATGAAATGGCTTATTTTATTCATTGTAGAGAATATATCAGGTTTCTATGTTATTTATATTGTTTATTATGTCATATTTAGATGAAGTTGAGGATAGTATAAATAAGCCGTAGAGTTGATATTAGCGATTTTATGGAAGTACCAGAATTCCACTGGAATGGATTAATTGCATTTCAGTAAATTTAAATGAGGAAAATTGACTCTGCGAACGAGCAAACCCAGTTGCGAGCAAGGTCATGGAACAGATTAAACTCGCAAGTAGAGGTTCCACTGTAATTCATTCCGTGGGAATTCCTGCTGTCAGGAGGCATGACAAAATAGTACTTTAGTATGATGCTTCGGCTTTTTTATTTATCACAATTCATCTAATATGACATAAACAATATTAACAACATAGAAACATGATATATACTCTAGAATGAATAAAATAGGCCATAATGTGGCAAGTGATGGCAATGCCGGCAGTGGCAGAAAGCATCCACCATTTATTCTCCCACTTTAGTATCTTCCCAGTCCATAACCCCACACCTAGTTTGTGTGTATCTGTGATTAGTGGTGAGGTTGTTATGTATGTAACCACTGGTGTGGTCAAGACAGATGTATATATAGGTGAAGACGTGATCACTGTGGCCACGGTGGTGGTGGCTTTCAGCTGCCTAACTCTCTGCTACTCCTCATTTTCTGCTGCTGCCTCACTCTGCTGCTGCCTCACTCTGTTGCTGCTTCACCCTCTGCTGTTGCCTCACTCTCTGCTGCTGCTTACTTTTGCTGCTGCTTCACTGCTGCTGCTTCAGGCTCTGCTGCTGCCTTCACTCACTCTGTGCTTGCCTAACTCTGCTGCTGCCCCACTCTGCTGCTGCCTCACTCTGCTGCTGTTTCACTCTCTGCTGCTGCCTCACTCTGCTGCTGCCCCACTCTACTGCTGCCTCACTCTGCTTCTACCTCACTCTGCTGCTGCTTCACTCTCTGCTGCTTCCTCTCTGCTGCCGCCTCACTCTGCTGCTGCCTCACTCTGCTGCTGCTTCACTCTCTGCTGCTGCCCCACTCTGCTGCTCCTTCACTCTCTGCTGCTGCCTCACTCTGCTGCTGCTTCACTCTCTGCTGCTGCCTCACTCTGCTGCTGCCTCACTCTGCTGCTGCCCACTCTGCTGGACTGTGCCTCACTCGGCTCTGCCTCACTCTGTTGCTGTTTCACTCTTTGCTTGCTGCCTCACTTGTGCTTTGTGTTTTTTGCTGACCTCACTCTGCTGCTGCCCTCACTCTGTTGCTGTTTCACTCTTTGCTGCTGCCTCACTGTGCTGCTGCCTCACTCTGCTGCTGCCTCACTGTAGCTGCTGCTGCACTTCTCTGCTGCTGCCTACTCTGCTGCTGCTTTCCACTCTCTGCTGCTTGCTCACTCTGCTGCTGCCTTCCATTTGCTGCTGCTCACTCTGCTGCTGCTTCACTCTCTGCTGTGCCTCACTCTGTCTGATGCCTCCTCTGCCTGCTGCTTTCACTCTCTGCTGCTGCCTCACCTGCTTGCTGCCTCAGGCTGTTGCTGCTTTCACTTGCGTTGAGCCTCACTCTCTGCTGCTGCACCTCACTGCTGTATAGCCTCACTTGCTGCTGCCTCCAATCTGCTGCTGTTCCTGCTTCACTCTGCCTGCTGCTCACTATACAGTCTATATGCTGCCAGCAGTTACAGCCTGCTTGATCAGGCCCTGATCCACCACGAAGCCTGGTCATAGACCAGACCATGAAGGCATTGACCCCCAAAACCCTCTCTAGGTATACCCAGAACCTAAAAATGACGTAGTGTTTTGCACTGAATAACTTATTTTCTTATCTTGCAGAAATTATTGACTACAATGTTACCAACACCAGAAGAGAAGCACAAGATTCACGAAGCCACCATTTATAACCCATACCTTCCTCTGGGGTCGGCAGAACAGTTTCTTATGATGCTGTTGTCCATATCTGAACTTCCCGCCAGATTACAACTCTGGATCTTTAAGCTAGACTATGAGAACATGGAGAAGGTAATAACAAACAGGGTAATTTTTGTCCCTTTTATCAGATTTGCTTTGACATTTAGCTGGTGACTGACATGGCTGCTCTGCTTGTGTTGCTCTCTGAGACTTCCATCTTTATTGCAGAATTTTTTAACTGCATTTCCCCTTATTTCCCTTCCCATTCTGTTCATGTCCTCCCCGTAACACCTCCAACTCTTCTGTTCTGAAATCTTGTTCACCTCTGCCATGTTCCATTGAATGAACCGTGTGGGTTTAGCACTTCCCATGAATATAATAATAATAATATTGCATGGAAATGCTTCTTCACACCATAGAAATAAAATAAAATAAAATATTTATTTTTTTGTTAAGGTTACAATGTGTGTTTACATATAGTATGAATGGAGCAAAGAAAACCACTATCATGCCTAGGCATTTTGGGCAGACTTAACTTAATACTTACAGACTACTTAAGTCTAGACAGGTGAAGAGTGGTAAAATACAAACAGTCAATCTTCAGTCAAATTTTCAAATTCAAATTCAAATTCAAAGTTTATTCTCTATAAGGATTACAATGCTGAATTTACAGAATTTGGTTATTGTGTGGTTTACATGTAGTAAAATACTAATTACAGAGGGGACCACTAGAACACCTAGCATGGCTAGGCATTTCGGGCAGACTTAGATTAATTCTTAATTTTAAAATATTACAAATTATGAGGTAAGTTGGTATTATGGCTAAGTGACTAAATACTAGTTTATGAGCTTAGCAATGTGAATGCTTTTGTTTTGGCACAATACATAGTTTCAAATTCAAATTCAAAGTTTATTCTCTATAAGGATTACAATGCTGAGTTTACAGAGTTTGGTTATTGTGTAGTTTACATGTAGTAAAATCTATTGTTAATATGAGAAATTATAAGAAATTCTGTTTGCCTGAATTGTATTAGTGGCTTTCTTTTGTGCCTAACAATGTTTTATTGCATATAAATTACTTTATTTTAAGTAGTAGGTTGGTAGACAGCAGCCACCCAGGGAGGTACTACCATCCTGCCAAGTGAGTATAAAACGGAAACCTGTATAGTAGTGCCCCACTTATATGGCAGGTTAGGTTCCAGGCTACTGCCGGAAAGTGGACATCGCAGGAAAGCAGAATGCCATTTGTTTCAAATTATAAATGTCAGATAAGTTTACACTAACATATATTAAGTTAGCAGTAGAACAAGGCATTAAAAAACAATACAGTACACTCATTACTTACCTCAAAATGTTTGTAGTCTTAATGTAGGGTGAGAAGTGAGTAGTGTTTATTGTAAGAAGTTAGGTGTGGTAGGTATGATAGCCAGCCAGGCCACCCCACCCCACCCACACATAATATACTTCAACATTTGACCCTTTGACTGTCACAGGCCCCTTTCTGAAACTGTCATTCTATGTCACAAAATTTAAAAAAAAAAAATATTTTTTCTTATGAAATGATAGAGAATTTTTCCCGATGGTAATGACACCAAAAGTACGAAATTTGGTCAAAAACTCAGGGAATTAAGCTCCCGCGAAGTTATCGGTTTCGGCGACATATACTCATCGGCGATTTCGCTGACTTTGAGCCCTGTTTTTGGCCAATTCCATTGTTCCAATTGACCAAACTCATAGCTGTTTCTTTAGAACTCCATTTTTTCTATCAATGGAGTACAAGAAACCGCCCATTTACAGATTTGAACTACCCAGTAAAGTGGTCAGAAATTGGCAATTTGGCCAATTTCATGCAAATTAAAAAATATGCCAGTTTCAAAATAGGGTCCAGAATAAACAATGTAGACATTCTTGGCACTAAAATAACATATCCTCTGTTCATTAGTCATGTCTCTAGGCCACTCTTATATTATTACTATTGCTTTCTATTTTGATTTTTTATTCATACAAAAAATACAAAATTTACTGTTATGCAGACTACTGCATTATTGTAAAAATGGTATAAATAATATCAATGCACTAGTGAAAGAATATTAGACTCCCCAGTTGACGTGTATTGGACGTGTGGTGTGATTTGCTTACTCCTGAACATTGGTAAAAATCGAACATTTCCGCTATTTTGAGCTCAATTTCAAGGTCGTTTTCATCATGAAACTAATCAAAATCATCTCTATTTCTGTAATACGTTTTCCATTTTATCATGTGAGACCATGAAAACAAGAATACAATGATAAATACTATACGAAAATACACCTCAAAGTCGGCGTTTTAATCCAAAAAAAAACGGTCAGGTTTTTTTTTTTCATTATGCACTGCATGCTGCAGGATAATTTTTATGTGGTGCACACTGACCACACAGACCCATTCTCTCACATGTGGGCCTACCAGCTTTCTCCTGCTTGATTTGAAGCCGCTAGAATTATTGAGTATATATACGTCTGAAACACTGGCTCATAAGGCGTATATATATGACCAAAACAGTCAAAGTTTTAAAGAGCCCCAGAGTGATAAAATGCATATAGTGTACACTCATTACCTACCTTAAAATATTTTTAGTCTTAATACAGTAGGGCCCCACTTATATGGCGGGTTAGGTTCCAGGCTACCGCCGTAAAGTGGAACACCTCTTTTTTCCACTTATAAATGCATGCAAATACTAGATAACAAGTTTACACTAACATATATTAAGTTAGTAAGTAAGTTTATTCAGATATACACAAATGCAGTTACATAGATTATCATACATAGCAGCATGTGTAAAGTACCTAGGATAACCCAAAAAAGTCAGACAGTGTGACTTATTTCCATTGGGGTTAGCAGTAGAACTAGGTATTAAAAAACAATAAAAAAGCAAAATACACATATAGTACACTCATTACTTACCTTAAAATATTTGTAGTCTTAATCTAGGGTGAGACAAGTAGTATTTATTGTAAGAAATCAAGTGTGGTGTGTATGGTAACCAGCCGGGCTACCATAGCAGGCCACCCCATCCACACATAATATTCCATAACATTTAACCCTTTCAGGGTTTCAGCCGTACTAGTACGGCTTACGCACCAGGGTTTTTGATGTACTAGAACGCCTAAATTCTAGCGCCCTCAAATCTAGTGAGAGAAAGCTGGTAGGCCTACATATGAAAGAATGGGTCTATGTGGTCAGTGTGCATGGTATAAAAAAAATCCTGCAGCACACAGTGCGTAATGAGAAAAAAAAAACTTTGACCGTGTTTTTTGATTAAAACAGCGACTTTGCACTATATTTTCGTATGGTATTTATTGTTGTATTCTAGTTTTCCTGGTCTCATTTTATAGAATTGAAGACATGTAACAGAAATTGAGATGATTTTGACTGGTTTTACAAAGAAACCTACCTTGAAATTGCTCTCAAAGTAGCAGAAATGTTGGATTTTTACCAAAGTTCAAAAGTAAACAAATCATGCTATGTGTCCAATACACGTCAACTGGTGAGTCTAATATTCTTTCACAAGTGCACAGATAATATTTATACCATTTCTACACCTATGCAGTAGTCTGCATAACAGTAAATCTACATTCTTTTGGAAAGCAGAAGAATGTAAGAGGGGCATGGGGACGCGATTAATGAACAGAGGAAATGTTATTTTAGTGCCAGGAATGGCTTTTTTGTTTATTCTGGACCCTATTCAGAAATTGGCATCTTTTGAAATTTGTGTGAAATTCGCAAAATTGCTAAATTCTGACCACTGTATTGGATAGTTGAAATCTGTAAATGGGTAGTTTCTTGTACTCATTCGATAGAAAAAAATGGAGTTCTAGCAAAATAGCTATGATTTTTGTCGACAAGTACACTGGAATTGGCCGAAAATATGGCTCAAAATGGGCAAAATCGCCGATGCATACACATCGTCGAGACCACTAACTTCGTGAGAGCTTAATTCCGTAAGTTTTCCATCAAATTTCATACTTTTGGTATCATTATGATCGGGAAAAGATTCTCTATCTTTTCATAAGATTTTTTTTTTTTTTTTTTTTTTTTTTTTTTTTTTTTTTTTTTTTTTTTTTTTTGAAATTTGGGCGACCCTGAGAGCAATTCTCTGAGAGGGCCTGTCGGCCCTGAAAGGGTTAAGTTGGTGAGGAGAAGTTACATCTCATATTTATGTTTATTTATTCTACTCTGGGGTGTATCATCTTTAAGATAAGATAAGATAAGATTTCGTTCGGATTTTTAACCCCGGAGGGTTAGCCACCCAGGATAACCCAAGAAAGTCAGTGCGTCATCGAGGACTGTCTAACTTATTTCCATTGGGGTCCTTAATCTTGTCCCCCAGGATGCGACCCACACCAGTCGACTAATACCCAGGTACCTATTTGCTGCTAGGTGAACAGGACAACAGGTGTAAGGAAACGTGTCGAAATGTTTCCACCCGCCGGGAATCGAACCCGGGCCCTCCGTGTGTGAAGCGGGAGCTTTAGCCACCAGGCCACCGGGCCACCGGGCCATGTTATGTATCTGTTTATTATATAATATTGTAAAAAATATCATGGCTGGATTAATAAAAATGTGTATATTAACGTAATATATGACATTTAATGAGACTCGGTCATTATTATTATTATTATTATTATTATAACTAATATGGCGTCACTTGTATAAGTCATCTGGCTCCCACATCCCATATTTATGTTTATTTATTCTACTGTGTAGTGTATTTCTTCTTTCAACAAACCGGCCATATCCCACCGAGGCAGGGTGGCCCAAAAAGAAAAACGAAAGTTTCTCTTTTTAAATTTAGTAATTTATACGGGAGAAGGGGTTACTAGCCCCTTGCTCCCGGCATTTTAGTCGCCTCTTACAACACGCATGGCTTACGGAGGAAGAATTCTGTTCCACTTCCCCATGGAGATAATAGGAAATAAACAAGAAAAAGAACTAGAAAGAAAATAGAAGAAAACTCAGAGGGGTATGTATATATATGCTTGTACATGTATGTGTAGTGTGCTCTAAGTGTATTTATCATCTTTATATTTTATGTATCATGTTTATTATATAATTTTGAAAAAATATCATACATG